CTTCTTTGGTGAAGTGTCTGTTCATATCCTATATCCATTTTTCAATTGGGTTATTTACTTTTATCTTCTTGTGGTGGGTTTTCATATTTTTACAACTGTAGGAACAAGTGATAAGAGGAATTAGAATAACTCCCAAAATATAACATATTTCATATTTCTTCATTATCAATTTAGTTTCTAATGTATAATCTAAAGAACTTAAAATTAAGAACAATTTTAATAAACTGCTTGCTTCAGACAATATGTAGCTGTAAGCAGTGTTTACAACAGTGGAAATGTCGGAGGAGAAAAGTAGTTAAAACTTTGTTTTTATCCATTTATCTTAAATTGGAAGACACTTAATTGTTAAGAACATGGTTTTAGGAATTTGATTTTTTTTCATCTGAGAAATGAAATTTTCTGTCTTTTTTTCCTCTGTGGTGATTAAATTATTTTACAAGGCATGTACTGAGCAGAGGACCTATTAGCTCCAGAAAAGTTTTCTGTGTGTCAGTGGTAAGAAGTCAGATTTTGCCGTGTTCTGAGTATGTTGTTATTAGGTGTTATCCCTGATTCACAGGGACCTATGAATAGAGATTGATCACTTGCCCAATTCTGTACCTCTCCTCTACTTTTCCCATGCTTAAGCTCGTTGTTGTAGTCACTATAGCAGCCCATCTTGGTGAGGATCTTCCTTTTTATTGTGACCCTCTGCTTTCCCCAGTATGATTCCTTTTTCTAAGGGTAGACTCCTTTAGACAACATGCCTCAAGCACCTTATCAGCCCTTAAAAAAATTATATCATTCACAAAAATTGAGATGCAAGCTTATTAGTCTTATTAATGTTTTAATCATATTGGATATGCAATGAGGTTTGCTTTGAAAACTTGATATTAGGAAATACTCTTGAATGTACCCTATATACTTGATACATTCCATTTAAAGAAACCTGTGAAATGACCCAGAATTGTGATTCCCTCAGATTAAAGAAGTCTTAACAAATAGATGATAGAGAATATATATACTGATTTCTCCTTTCAAAAACTGAATTAGGATTTTTAATGAATTAAAACACTCAAATGCTGTTGAATCAAAACCAACTCCTAAGTGACCTTCTGGTGGATTTCAGAGGCTATAAATTGCGCATGGGACATGATTGCCTAGCATTCTCCCTTAGAGCAGCTGGTGGACTAAAGATGAAGAATGTTTTTCTGTTCTTAAAAGTTGTGGCCAGTGTTAAAATACATGTCTAAAATTTTTTGTGCATGTCTGTAAATGGAAATTATTGTCACACTTACCCAAATTACAGTAAATCTTTTTGACAGTGGAGGGTTAGTGGTTTGTCATAACTCTTAACTTTTAACAGGTATTTGAAAAAATTTCATACATACACAAAACCACCGAGTCCATACATATGTCTTAATTATTATAAGCAAACCACTCTTTAAATGTTTTTAAAACTGTTCACCTATTTTCAAGTTTTATAGCTTGTTACATGAAGTATTTCATCTACTTTGGTCTCGTTTCATATTATCCTCATAAGATGATCACTAAAAGGTACCATAATAAGGCATAGTGAAGAAATTAGATAATGCTCAGCTATCAAAAGGGATGGTTTCTGAAGTCTTAAAAGCTTATCCTGTAGCAAGTAGCCAGATGAGCCTTCAACTAGTTCATGTATGCAAAAAACCACACCAGCTTAAGTGTGATGAAAAGATTTTGAATAAAATAAGTGACCAGAGGAAGGAATGTATTAGAACACAAATTCTAAAGTATTTGGTTTATGGAAGCTGATGTCTATAGTGCAAGCCCTAATTAATTTCATTTTGATTTGTGATATAAATTCAGATGGCATTTGAGATCTTTCAGATAAAATTATATCCATCATGTAGCAATGCTTAGCAAATCTAGGTAAAGCCCAGAGAGGAATTATTTGTCCTCCGTAAAAGTGTAACTGAAAGTGAATTACAAGGGAGCACTGGTGGCCTATTGGCAAGAAGCTGTACTTCAATACTGAAGGTGTGTAGTTCTAATCCACCAGATGCTCCACTGGAGAAGGAGGGGCAGTCTCCTCCTATGACAGTCAGATCTGATTCAACAGTACACAACAAGGAAAAGAAAAGAAAAACGTTGAGTTACAGCTCCAGTGAGGCTCAGAAGGAACATTTTTCTCTCAGGCACTCTCCTGGACCTTAATGCCAATTTCTTTGGCTATTTCATGTCAATGATTTATAAACATATTTTGATTATGGTAAAATAATAATGAGAGTGTTATTGAAGCTTAGAAATAATTTAGGGTTGAGTATATAATAAACTAGTAGATGAAGGTTAAAAGATTAAATTTCCAGTAGAGAAACCTGTAGTTCTTACTTTTGATACAGGGAGCTCTGATGGCATAATTTGACTTGAGTTGATAATTGCTAATTTCAGTCAGTCAGTGGTTCAAATATAGCAGCTTCTCTTTTCCATTAAATTTTTTTCAGGCTTGGAAACCTGAAGGGAGGGTTTCTATGAGTTGGAATTGGCTCTATGTCAGTGTTGTTTTTAAAAATAGGCACCTAGATGAGGCTGGCATCGGGATGGGGGTGAGACTGAGAAAAACTGGATGAAATATGTTTACGGCATTGAAGTCTTTGGGGGAGAGAATATTTTATATTTTAGGGCATTATGTTTATCGTAGGAGTATGGAATGAGGGTTGCAGAGTGGATTATATTTGGGGGTTGGGGGATATGTGTGGGGGATTGCATACCAATGGGGGAGTTTTTCTTTTGCGTTTGAAGGAGAGGAGCAAACGGGGGGGGGCGGGGAGAGGGGTGCAACAATGAATGAATGGAATTCCAAAATCTCTGTAGATGTTCATTGAAATGAAAAATAAAGAAATTACAAAACAGTAGGCACCTAGGAGGCCATACTGGGGACCTCACTTTACGGGCATGGTTTCTCTTTTCCATAGTTCCTCTTAAAGCGGGTGGTCCATCATCAAAGAAATCTTTCTTTATCCTTAGATTTTTTTAAAAAATTTAAAAAAAAATTTGAAGTGGCAGGTACTGTTTTGAGTTTTCTACCACACAGTACTTTAGAGCACCTGGCTTGTTATGTGCTATTCATCATTGACTGTCCCAAGGCTTTTCAGAGTCTGTAAATCACACAGGAGGAAATGGGAGCTCCTGTGTAGTGCTAACAATTGAACCCCTCAACTGCTTATTCAGAACTGTCTTCAAAACAAGGATTGACAATCTCCTTTCTAAAAGTCAGCCACTGAGAACCATACTATGAAATACACTTCTTTTCTTGATACATAGAGTCATTGTGAGTCTGAATTAAGAGCCCTTGGTTATATATAGTAATTAATTCTCAACAACAATTATTATGTGCTAAGTCAGTCTCCTGACCTAGATACTTAAGTGTAGTACTCCCTATACTAAAAGTTTCATGCATAGTAATAGAAATGACTATGTGTGCATTCATGACTATGCATAGTAGTAGAACTAGTTGGGGTTAACATTTTCGTGATTCCTGTATAATGTCCAAACTTCAGAACATTTGTGGACTAAATGGTGATGTGTATGGATTGATAAAATTCTAGAGCTGCAATGTCAACTAGGAAGAGAATATAATTGAACAAATTCTAATAGCCTTAAAAGGGAGCTATGGGACTTGAAAAGATGGAGCAATGCTAATTAATTACATAAAATATATATGAGTGTATAAAACGTGAAGTACATGTACAAATAATGATGCATATGAATATATACAATCCAATAATTTTTTTAATCTTAAAACCATTGTCTTTATATACAAATGATGATGCTTTATCAGGTACAACTTGGAAAGATTAAAAATTATAAAGAAACGGGGGTAAAAAAGGAGCTCAGGTGGCCAAGTGGTAAGGAGCTACATGGTCAGCCTGAAGACATGGCATCTTGAGAAAGATGGATGGTCTCTTCCTGTGCAGTTTACTGCTTCTGAAAACCTGGAGGGTCACCTATGAGTTGGTTCATAGTTAATGGTTCCTAACAACAGCAACAAAGTAGCCTTAAAAAGTACAAAGCATGATATTTATTTAAGTAGTATTTTTAAGTTTAATTTAGCATATACCACTATCATTGAAATAATAATCATTATATCTGACAATGTTTATTTTTTTTCCTCATACCAAGTCTCTGTATTTGAGTGTTTATGTTAAACTCTAAGCACATTGCCTGATTAGCCACATTTCAAGGGTTATTGTGTTGTTATATGCTGTTTAATCAGAAGCAACTCAGAGCTGACCCTAGCAGGTTTTCAGAAATTATAAATTGCATGGAGGAGATTACCCATCACTTTCCCATGGATAAGCTGAAGAATTCAAACCACATGTCTTTGGGTTGGCAGTGTAGCTCCTTACCTACATACTTCTAGCGTTTTATTTTAAAAAATACACTTTTTTAAGAGAAATTTTACTTTATTTTGAAGTAATTTTTCAGATTTAAATCTGATGGTTGAGTCCTAAAACTGAAACCTTTTAAATTTTAATACAGTTTATAATTATTATTGATAGCACTGTGCATTTTAATAATATTCTTTTTTTCTTTATTAAATTTTATTGATTTTAATGAACATTTACAGAGATTTTGGATTTCCATTCATTCATTGTTGCACTATTTTCTCTACCCCCTAGTTCGTTCCTTTTCCTTTCCCTTGAAAGTCTGTTTTAATTGTCCCATTGCCACAGTGCTTGTTTTAATGATATTCTTAATACTTTTTCACAATATCCACTGTGAGCAATGGTAGGAGGAAAACACTATTATATCAAAGTAAAAGAAATAGGAAGAATGGGAGTAGTGCTGCCTTAGTTTGTATCCTGCTGGAATAATGAAGAACTAATTTTACCTTGAGTAAAATATACAGTCTGCCTAATTATGACCTAACAAAATTTGAGATTCGATAATTTCACTATAACTCAAATTTTAATCCAAATCATTAAAGAGAAATTGAAGGTAAATGTACTATCTTAATTAGTAACTGATCTACTGAAATGCTTTTGAGAAATCTCTGTGAATATAAGCCTACATAAGCATTGCTTTTGCTACTGTTAAATACTCATGGACTTAACCTTCATATGAGCTGTAAACGTTTTAGGTTTCAAAACACTGAGGAGATTATAATTGATATATTGATTCACCATGGTTTTGTAAGAAAAAACCCTCAAGGTAAGGAAAAAATTGAACTATCTAATGATGGGAAAGAAGTCAGTATTTTAACTATAAAACTAATTTAAAATTTTAGAGTCTGCCCCAAACTCTCCAAGAATTGGAAGTCTGTTGGGTCCAAAGAAAAATACCAACACATGCAATCTTCAAGCTATGTGTAGAGGGTTGTCTACTAGTTTGCCTGACTTGGACTCAGAGCCTTGGATAGAAGTAAAAAAGAGACATCGCCCTTCACCAGTGAAACTCAGGGTAAGTTGTTATAACTCAAAACTGATTGCTTTTTCTGATGCAACAACCCTATCAAACAGTAGAACTCCCCCATAGGACTTTCAAGATTGTAAATCTTTACAGAAGTTGATTGCCAAATCTTTCTCACAGTGACTAACTGGTGGATTAGAAAGCCTGACCTTTCAGCTCACCAAATATTTTAAACATTGCACAACTAGAACAGGTTGTTAAAAGACCAAGTAAAATATTATATACTGTCTGTGTGGTTATGTTAGCATATTTTTTATTTGAAAATTTGAGAAGTTGTAAAGAATCAATGAAGTTCTTCAATAGAACTGAAAAGCTTATTATTGTTGTTGATTGCCTTTGAGTCGCCCACGACTTATAGCGACCCTATAAACAAAAGGCCTGAAGCCCCTCTACAACTATCGACATTTTTCAAAGCTTATAGAGTTTCCAGAGGCATGTTATTTAAGAAGTGGATGCCATTCCTGCTTCCAAAAAGGCTTTTATTAATAGCAAATAATATTTTATCAGTTTTTAAAATTTTTATTTAATTTCTGAACATGAAAATATTTTTATTTAGCCTTTTTGTGACTAAATTTGGAATCTTGGGGTGGTGCAAAGGATTAATACATTTAGCTGCTAACCTTTATTTAATATTTCTGTTTTCATAAAAGAATAAATAGCCTTAGAACATGCTCCTAAATCTTGAAGTTAGAACCTTGTCACAATTGTAAGACTCTAGAAAATACAAGTTATAACCTTGGTTAAGTATTTGTAAGACTCTCAATAATTATCCAAATAAAGAAAATGAACAGAAGATTTCAAAGGGTAGCATGAGGAAACAAATAAAAGTATTGTGAAGGAATGTGGAAAAACCCGGAGCTGAAAGACAAGAAGGGAAAAAGTTACTAGGCATTTCTCAAGCTGAAACAACTGAAAAATTCAAGTCTCCAGTTACAATACTGAAAGATGCTATGGACAAAATCTTGGTTAATCCTGGAAGCATCAAAAGAAGATGGAAAGAATATAGAGTCACTAAAAAAATTGTTGGATACAGGACCCTTACAGGAAGTAGAGTATGGTCAAGAACCAGTGCTGATGAAGTTCAAGTTACATTGAAGGCATTAGCAAAAAAAAGCCCTAGGAATTGATGGTATACCAATTGACATGTTTCGACAAATAGATGCACCCCCAGATATGCTCACAAAACTGTGCCAGGAAATTTGGAGGATGGCTACATGGCCAACCATTTTGAGGAGACCTGTGCTTGTTTTCATTCCCAAAAAAAGTGATCTGCTAGGATGTAAAAATTATTGAACATTTTCATTAATACCACTAGTAAGCAAAATACTGCTGAAGATTCAAATACAGCTAGAATATGACATGTACAAATAACTGCCAGAGGTTCAAGCTGGGATTAGAAGAGGCTGTGGTGCTGTCAGATGGGTCTTGGCTGACAGCAGAGAATACCAGAAAAATGTCTACTTGTGCTATATTGACTTTGCAAAGGTTTTTGATTGTGTACATTGTAGAAATTGTGGCTGACGTTGAGAAGAATGGAAATCCCAGAACACTTAATTGTGTTCATGTGAAACCTATACCTGCTCCAAACTGTTTTTTGAACAGAGGAATTGAATACTGCATAGTTTAAGATGAAGAAAGGTGTGTATCAGGGCTGATCTCTTTCTCCAGACCTGTTGAATCCGTATGCTGAACAAATAATTTGAGAAGCTGGACTTTGTGAAGAAGAATGTGGCATCAGGATCAAAGGAAGATTCATTAACAATCTGTGCTGTAGAGATGAAAAAAACCTTGCTTATTGAAAGTGATGAGAACTTGAAACACTTGCAGTGGAAGATCAAAGATGACAGACTTCAATATGAATTACATCACAACATCAAGAAGACAAATCTTCACCACTGGGCCAGTAGGTAAAATCGTGATACATGAAGAGTTGATTGAAATTGTTAGCAGTTTCATTTTACTTGGCAATATCAACCCACTTGGTACCAGCAGTCAAAAAACCAGGAGACATATTTCATTGGGAAGTCTGCTGTCAGGGACCTCTCCAAAGTCCTGAAAAGCCATATCAGTTTGAAGACTTAAGGTGCACCTGATCTAAACCATAATTTTTTCAGTTACTTGCTATGCAGCTGAAAGTTGGGCAGTAAATAAGAATGACAGAAGTATCGGTATCTTTGAGTTGTATTGTCAGAGTACTGAATACTATAGACTGCCAAAGGATCAAACATATATAC